CTCAGTCGTAGCCACAATACCCACGGCCGTAGTCAAGTAATTAAGTCGTTACAGCTGGAAGGGGCAGCTGGTGAGCTAACTAATTTACTTCATGCAGTCTCCTGTCGTGTGGGAACTTAGAGATTTATCTCAGTGCCACGTGCTAGCTACGGATGTGTGGTAATTACTTCTTAAATAAGTGTGTTATGCATTTGTTCTTCTGTTTTAGTTGTGTGGACTAATGTTGTAATGTTTTGTGTTTCTAAAGAGTATTTAGTTTAGTTTTTTAAGGAGACTCATTTAGCGTTGTATGAATTTTTGATATAACGATAGAGGAGAATAGGAAAAGAAGACATAGGTATTATATTATCTACTTCGGATGAAGCTAGAAAAAAGAAATATGCTTTTTTGGTAATTAATCATTATTTATTAGCTTGTGTTCGTAGAAAACCTTGACGTAAAATTGCAGAGATTTGTTATTTAAAATAGCAAGACCTACCATGTCCTGTACCCAAGTGTATGGCGCGACGAGTTCCGCGCGCGCCTCAAAAAGCCATCAGACCACCACGGATGCCCAATAGGGCTGATACCGATACCGAGCGGAGAACGTAAAAGGTACCGGGGCTTCGAATCGAAATGCAGGAATTGGAACGGCGTGGTTTTTAGTCAGTTAAGAGTCTGACACTCCGCCTCACCTCACCCAGGCGGGAGAAGTCATTCGATGACTAGACAGTCATCGAATGACTTCTCCATTAACGTTAAGGGAGACCCCTTAAAAAAATCATATCCAGTAAATAGTTTCTCCAATCCACATAAAATCTCATCACTCGTTAACTCAACCTCGCCTCTTTTTGGTCCCTAAATTAAGTTAAACTAAAACTAATAATCACAAAACCATAAACCTGAACTACTAAACACAAAGTTCAACCCAACGCTAGTGAGAGGGGGGTATAGTCACTTTACCCTTATTTTACTTCAGTTTTACTCCCATTTTACCCCTATTTGGAGTAAAAACGTGCGCGTAATAAAGTTGTATGTAAGTGCTTTTGTCCGGAGATATGTATATTGGGGTAAATTGTTTCCACGTGAGGGTAGAATTTATAATTCATTGCTAGGGTTTAGCACGAAACGTTGAGGAAAAGGGGTCAGGGGAGATTATTAAATATAAATATTTTTATGCGAAATATAGACGGTGCTGGTTCGTTTAACATAATTTTATTAGACATATGAGTGAAGATTATGAGTTATGATGTGTTCTCGGTTAATTTTATGATTGTTAAAAACGTCTATGATTTTTTGATCGCCGGTTTGACTAAATGGTTTTTATAATAATTATCGTGAGACATACTAAGTTAACTAAAAACCGCAGTTTACTCATGTATATATACTGTACAC